AGGGTTAAGGTGAGGGGGTCCTTGCCCCCCCACCAGTTTTACAGAGGTAGACAGCCTAAACACGCCTGCCCAATCCCACCCCACAGGTAGGAGAGGCCTTTGGGTGCCAAGAGGCAAACAGCAGCACACGCCCAGAGGCAGACACTGAAGCACTGAGGGAATTTCTACAGCAAAAGCGTCGTCTTCAGGTGAGCTCAAGTGTCTACAAGGTTCAGTGGCAGCCGGGCAGGGGGTTGGCGAATCGCAGGTGTGCCTGAAATGGGGACTTTGGCTCTTTAATGCCCTTTGTGGAACTAGGACTTGGTGCCTTGGCTGCCCCACCACAAAATGAGGACGAGGACACATCCCTGCCTCACAAGGCTCTGAGGAGAAATCCATCAATGTTATGATGCTCTCAGTGATAGACACCATGAAAGAACCTAGAGAATCCTGTCTGACCTGACTGCTAAAGCCAGAGAGGCCAGGAGGAGAACACACAGAGCTGTGAGCCACTAAGGAGGGGTAAAAAACCCAACACACCCAGAGACTGAACCATCGGGGGTTGGGAACTTACCTCCCAAAGCTGCTGCTAAAACAATGATGATCAAAACCAAGATTGTGATTATGACCACGACCACAACTTGACCTTTACTTGTACATTTCCCGGAGTTAGCTGCATGACCTGGAAGATAAAAACCCGTTAATGCTCCTGGGGCTACGGAGACCAGAATTGTTGCCATCAGGCTCTAATGTGAGACACACCAGGTTTTTATTTTGATTTCTAAAATGGTTCTGTCCCGGCTCTGGACACAAATATTAACTCGAACTCCCATCCAGACTGCGAAGGAGAACATCACTCCCCAAATCACCACTAAGTGGTTAATTAGCTCAATTAATCCCCAGAAAGGACCCTGCAGGGTTTGGAGGAGGATGGAAGATGATCAAGGATCTGAAAGATCCATGACAAGAGACTGACAAGCCTGGGATTGTTCACTAGGGAGAGGAGGTGAATGATGGGGGGACAGGATAAACAGTCTATACCAGGGGTGAGAAGCTTTTTTCTATCAGGGACCACTGACCCACAGAAAGAAAAAAAAATCAGTCACAGGCCACACACAGCCCTGCAGGGGGGCGCGGCAGCATGGGGCTTCCACTAGGCTCTGGGGTAGGGCTGATATGAGGGGTGAAGGAGGGGGCTCCGGACTGGGGCCTAGGGGTTTGGAGTGCGGGAGCGGGCTTAGGGCAGGGAGTTGGGGTGCAGGTGCAGGCTCTGGAAGGGGGTTTGGATGCAGGAAGGGGTTCCGACCGGGGGCAGGGGGTTCAGGCTCTGGGAGGGAGTTAGGGTGCGGGAGGTGGTTCTGACCTTGGACAGGGTTTTGGGTGTGGGCTCAGAGAGGATCGCGATGCAGAAGGGGATAAGGTGTGGGGCCAGGGGTTGGGGTGCAGGAGGGAATAAGGGATGTGGGCTCTGGCCAGTTGCCGCTTACCTCAGGCAGCTCCCAATCAGCGGCACAGCTGGGCTAAAGCAGGCTCCCCCACTGCCCTGGCCCCATGCCGCTCCTGGAAGCTGCCAGGATGTGGCCAGGTAGCTCTGCACAATGTCCGTGCCTGCAGACACAGGCACAAGCGGACTTGGAGGTTCCATGATCATCCCTGCGCCTAAGGGCCACGGGAACAGCCAAGCCGACCAGCCTGGCACCCTAGCATCCCCCCCGCAGTGGGGTGAGCCAGCGGTTGCAGTTCCAGCCCTGCGTGGGGAGTGCCGAGGCTCAGGGCTTTTGGCCCGCAGCGCCGAGGCTCAGGGTTTCTAGCCCACAGCGCGGAGACTTGCCAGATTTGGCCTATCCCTGCTCTATACAATTAGAGATTGGACAGAAGGCAACTGGAGCTTTTGTTGGTAAAGTTGTGGGCAGTCCTTCTATGCCCTTTTGTGGACTAGTATAGCACTGTGGGTGCACCCCTCCTTAATTTCCCTTAAGTTAACAGCCCAGGGCAAAGAGAAGCTAAGACTGATTAACAAAACAGCACGTCTCTTTTTAATAAAGCTTCAGAACAGGAGCAATGTCAACAAACAGTTCATACAGTCCTCACCTCAGGACCCTGGATCAGAGCTTCCAAACTTAATGTTCATAAAACCAAGTCTCAGGCTGATTAGGCTGGTCTCCTAGAACCTGAGAGAAACCATCACCTGCTGCAGCCTGCCTGGCTTCTACTCCCCTCTCTCCTTCAGCTCCCTCTTCAAACAGCCCATGCCTAGGATGGGGCAAGGTCTCCTTGATTACATTCCAGGCTGACCCAGCTGTAGCCTCCAGCCTGTCCCTTAAAGGGGTAGTTCACTCCCGCCCCAGAATGTTCTCCTTGTTTCATAACACAGGAACAAGATGTTCAATGAGACTAAAAAGGTGGGAAAGGAACTTTTTCTAGCCAGTGTATAATCAGACTATGGAACTCACTACCACAGGAAATTGAGACCAAGAACTTAGGAAAGTCAAAAAAGGGATTGGACATTTATATGGTTAACACAAATATCCAGAGTTGTCATAATTAACAGCCAAAGGTTGGCAGGAACTTTGGAAGAGCCCCTGCATCCCAGGGAGAGTGAATCCAGGGAGTTCAATCTTAGCAAATCCTCTTCCCTAGCACCCAGATTCACATAGGAGAGCACGATATGTGCATTGGCAAAACACAAATGAATGCACTGTGGCCACAGGCAGCAACACCTGCTCCTTGCCCTGCACAGAGGCAGGGCTCTGCATGCGTTAGGATTGTGACACCTCAGCCTGCCTGCTGCTCACACACAGAAGGGAGGATCTGACCCCTTACAAACAAACCGAAGGAAAGAGCAGTGCCAGGAGTGACCAAGGGAGACGTGAGCCAAACGTTTTCATGGAGATAAAACATGCGCATGCGTTTCTAGGACTGCACAACGGCCACACGAGAGCAGCTACAGGTACAAACTGAGTCCATTGGAGCAATAGGGTCCCTGCTGCACCAGGGGGGCAGTTACACTGACCACTAAAAGATGCATCTTAGTATCTCTGTTCAACCTGTCCCTAGGCATGGAAGCTCCAATTACCTGATTCCCCTCCACTCTCTGTGTTGCTGTTGCTCTTACAGAGCTGCTTCAACATCTGTTGCGCCTCAGTCGAATCAACACTTCTCACTCATCTCTCTGCAAGGTAGCTGCGGGCGCTGGATTCTGATCAGTCTGGCTCCCCCTCACTGGCTGCAAGAAATGGCTTTATACACCCATGGCAGAGTCAGTTCCAATCAGCTCGGAGTTCTTGGCTTTGGCCTGGAATCTGAAATGTAACAATCAGGACAGCATAAAGCTCAGTGGGGTTTGTTTGTGATGTTCCATCCTCCCATTCATTAAAACAAAACCCCCTGAGCTAAGAACAGCTTAGTAAAGAACACCCTCCATCCTATGTCATCAGGCCCCTCATTGAAGATGCCCCCATTTCCTCTCACTCCTCAACTCAGAGTTCAGCAGGGGAGGAATACTGTCTGGTGTGAAGGCAGGGATGCGCACACACCTTTTATGTCTGGAGTGTGAATGCACACAATATAGAACTGTGTGTAGTGCAATTACACTACACATATAGACAGTTAAACTTGAAATTATGATAACCTGTTAAGGACTAAACTGACAATCTATTAAATTCATTTAAATTATATAAAAGAATAATATTCAAGCAGAACATGTTTGCTGAAGTTTTAAAGAAAGTCAAGCCACTGAAGTGGTGCCAGCCACTGGTTAAGCACCTGGAGACAGAGTTTGTTAAAGCAGCTTTTGACAGCAGTAGCCTCTTGCACAGGTGCAGAGAGAGTATTTTCTTCATTTCGGTTTATGCAAAATTAAGGAACCAATTGGAAGCTGAAAAAGCAGGAAAGCTTGTTTTTGCTTCCAATCTATCAATGAAAACTAGGTGTGAGGTGATGAGATCTATTAGTTCTAAGGTCTTAAAGAACATGGGGTGGCATCCATAAAGGGACTCAGGCATTGCAACATTGAACATCACAGCATCTAGCTTTTAGGTAGCTAGAAATCCCAGGAAACAACACTGATCTACAGCAGTGGTTCTCAACCAGATGTCCAGGGCCCACTGGGGGACCGTAAGCAGCTTAAGGGATCTGTCAAGCAAGGTTGGCACTAGGCTTGCTGTGGCCCAGGGCAAAAAGCCAAAGCCCCACTGCATGGAGCTGAAGCCCAGGGCCCTGAGCCCCACCACCTGGGGCTGAAGCAGAAGCCTGAGCAACTTAGCTTTGTGGTGCCCCCTATGGCATGGAGCCCCAGGCAATTGCCCTGTTTGCTAGCCCCCCTCTTCCAGAAAGAAAAAGGTTGAGAACCCCTGGTCTACAGAGATGGCTCCTATATAATGAACGGGGAGAACAAGGCCTCTAAGAATGGGCTCCTTAAAATCCAGCATGTTAGATGGGGAGCCACCTAAGCTAGTCACTGGGAGATGCTGACTAGAGCAGTGTCTTCCAAGCCCTCTCCATCTCTCAGAAATAGGCCCTAAGTCCAGACTGTAAGGAGGCACTTACTGGCTACTGGACGCAAAAGTCAGAGAAAGAAGAGATGCTACCTTATAACTTTCAGCCAAGTGGTTGGAGCACTGATCTGGGATATCCAAATGCCTCAAAATGAGACAGCAGTACATATCCTCACAGGCTAAAACATAGAGGACTACAGAACTTTTACTCTCAAGAAGTTAGGTATCAAGTATTGCCAATTTAGTGACTTTTTAGTTTCCCTGGTGAGAAAATAAGTGTTGAAGTGATCAGTGACAAATCTAGTGACTTTCACTGCCAATGACAGAGTGACATTCAGAGAAAGAAGCCACCGATATGTATAGTCACAGAATCATTCACAATCAGCTCATTTGTGTTAATTCCATGCTTTTCTTACTACTTTCTTTCGCACACCAAGTCAATGCATTACATCTCAACTGAGCAAGTCTTGGGAAGGAATCACATTCCAAGGCTTGGGCTGAGATCACTATAATCTGCAGGCGAGGAAAATAAGGTCTGGTCTACACTAGCCTATTTCGGAATTAGCCGAGTTATTTAAAAAGAAAAAGAAAAAAAGATTCCGTCCACATGACCAAAGGGTTTTTTTCTATTTAAAGGGCTCTTTAATTCGATTTCTGTACCCCTCCTTGGCAAGAGGAGTAGCGCTTAAATCGAGATCGCAATCCCGGGTTAAAGGTATTGTGGACGTAATTCGACGTTATTGGCCTCCGGGAGCTATCCCAGAATGCTCCCTTGTGACCGCTCTGGACAACACTCTCAACTCCAATGCACTAGCCAGGTGGGCAGGAAAAGCTTCGTGAACTTTTGAATTTCATTTCCTGTTTGGTCACCAGCAGCACAGTCGACCATCAGCACAGTCCACCATCACAGGTGACCATGCAGAGTCCACCATCACAAGAGATCACACAGTCCCGGATTCGCAGACGAGCTCCAGCATGGTCCGAACAGGAGGTACTGGATCTCATCGCATGCTGGGGAGATGAGTCTGTTATGGCAGAACTATGTTCCAAAAAAAAAAGGAACGCAAATACCTACGCTAAAGTCTCCAGGGCCATGACGGAAAGAGGCTACTCCAGGGACACAGAGCAGTGTCGTACAAAAATCAAGGAGCTCAGGCAAGCGTACCAAAAAGCCAAGGAGGCAAACGGGTGCTCTGGGTCACAGCCCCATACATTCCGCTTCTACCATGAGCTGCATGCAATTATGGGGGATGGTGCCACCACTACCCCACCACTGTCCGTGGACACCTGCAAGAGGGGAGTTGCACGCAGCCACGTGGTGAGTGCGGGGGTGGTGGTTGTTGTGTGCAGTGATCATCCCAGAGAGCCCGCAGGCCCTCCTTTTATATGGCAAACCCACCAGGCATTGCTTGCTGTGGGAAAGGGGGCCCAGCAGTTTGAAGCATTGAAATGAATGTAGAAGAAGCAGAACCCCACGTGCCCCTAGGGACTGCCTGCAAGCTCAATTCTCTTGCCCGGCCATGTGTGATGGCTTACTCATACCGAAGTGCCCCCTTTGTTCTCTGCAATGTATTTTTTAAAATATTACCCTCCCTTTTAGTCCTCCTGCAGGTGCAAATGTTTCAACGCGGCACCTATCTACTCCGTCCCAGAGGCTGGTCTAGATTAGAAGGCGGAAAAAACGAACTCAGGACGACATGTTCGGCGAGCTCATGCAGTCCTCCCGCACTGATAGGGCCCAGCTGAATGCGTGGAGGCAAACAATTGCGGAGTCCCGTAAAGCATTACAGGAACACAAAGAGAGGATGGAGGCGCGCGATGATAGCAGGCAGGACACTATGGTCAAGCTCATGGGGGAGCAAACTGACATGCTCCGCTGTATGGTGGATCTAATGCAGGAAAGGCAGCAAGACCACAGACTGCTGCTACAGCCCCTGTATAATCAAACTCCCTCCTCCCCAAGTTCAATAGCCTCCTCACCCTGATGCCCAAGAACACAAGGCGGGAAGCTACAGGGACCCACACACTCAACCCCAGAGGATCGCCCAAGCACCAGAAAGCTGGCATATGCGAACTTTTGATTTGGTGTCTGGACTTGTCCTTCCCTCCTCCTCCTCCACCCCCCAACCCAACCCCCCCACTCTCCCAGTCTACCTTTTAATTTCTCTCAATGTGTTGTGCATCAAACAATAAAGAACAGCTTTTAAACAATTTTGACTTTATTTCCTTTCATATATATATATAGAGAGAGAAAAAAAAGGTGGGTAACTTCAAGAGAAACAAACCCAGCTGTCAAACCATACCTGTGCTTGTCTAATCGCCCTGTTGCCTCACTGTGCGAAACTAGCCACCAGGTGAGTTGCCTCAACCTCCCACCCCACCATAAAAGTCTCCCCCTTACTCTCACAGATATTGTGGAGCACACAACAAGCAGCAATTACAATTGGAATATTGGTTGTGCTGAGATCTAACCGAGTCAGTAAACTGCGCCAGCGCCCTTTCAAATGTCCTAAAGCACATTCTACCACCATTCTGCACTTGCTCAGCCTATAGTTGAACTGCTCCTTACTGCTGTCCAGGGTGCTTGTGTACGGCTTCATGAGCCATAGCATTAAGGGGTAGGCTGGGTCCCCGAGGATCACTATAGGCATTTCAACATCTCCAACAGTAATTTTCTGGTCTGGGAAGTAAGTCCCTTCCTGTAGCTGTTCAAACAGACCAGAGTTCCTGAAGATGTGAACGTCATGCACCTTTCCCGCCCATCCCACATTGATGTCAGTGAAACGTTCCTTGTGACCCACCAGTGCTTGCAGCACCATGGAAAAGTACCCCTGGCGGTTTATGTACTGGCCGCCCCGGTGGGCCGGGGCCAAGATAGGGATATGCGTTCCGTCTATTGCCCCACCACAGTTAGGGAACCCCAGCGCATTAAAGCCCTGCACAGTGGTCTGCACATGTCCCAGAGTCACTACCCTTGATAGCAGCTGGTCAATGATTGTGTTGGCTACTTGGATCACAGCAGA